AGATGTGTCTCATTGCAAAAAATAAAATGAAACTTTTCATTGTTAAAAATTCTCAAATTAGTTACTAGCATTTTAAAATCAGGAGATTTGATATAAACATCAGGATTTGGGGCTTCCTCTGAAAAAGAAAAATTGAAGGATTTGGTAACACTGGCTCTCATTTCCGCGTGGCAGAGATCCGCTGGCCTGGGGAAGCAGTAGACCAGTCAGGACTGTCCAGCTTGACACTTTCCCACTGGGGAGCCAAGGGTCCACTGTCTTTATCATCGTGTGTTAGGCATTTGTTTCTCTTATAACTGGACACTTCACTCATTTATGCTACTTGCCTGACCCCTGTAGGTTTTGGATTTTCAGCCAGTGATATAGATAGTAGCTCTCTAAGTCATCTGTTTTATGAAATCTTTGGCAGCCCCAAGGCAACAGAAAAACTACATATGTGAATAAATGAACATCTCATAGGCTATTTCATAGTATAATAAAATGCATTGACTTACTGTGTCAAGAATCATTTTTCTTTCATTCATTCAGTTGAACGTTGTTGACAGCCTATTCATGCCGCACCACCTGCTAGCACTGGGGATACAAGGATAAAGTAGATAATTCCTATCCTTAGTATGGTAAGGGCTACAAAAGAAAAATAGGTGATGTGCTAAGGGGCTCAGGGGAGGAAATATTAACTCTTCCTGGGGGAATTGAGAAAAACTTTACAGAATAGGGTAATATTTGCAACCAAGTCCTGAAGAGTGAGTTGGAGGTACCCAGAAGAAGAAAGGGAGAGAGGGCTTCGTAGCATAGAAAATAGCGCATGCAGAGGCACACAGGTTGTCAAAACGGTGAGAAATTTATTATAGACAAGGTTTGGGGGTGCACCCTATGAGGTGTGGCTGAAGACTTGATTGAGGCCAGACCATGAAGAGCTTCAAAAGCTGTGTTTAATAGAGGACTTGTTCCTGGAGGTATTACAGAGCTAACAAAAACTTTTAGTACAAGACCAGCAGTCCCATCAGCGAACCTCCTTGTGCCAGCTTTCCATTTTCATGTCTCATTATGTGATTATAATTTTAGATCAGTTCATGTCAATAGAGATGCCAACAGTAAAGGAACACCATTGCCAGGGCATTGATTACACTTTAGAAATCAAGCATGTGTTGAGTTCATCCGGAGTGTTGAATGAGAGGGAGCTGGGACCTCTTCTAAATTATTAACCTTTCGTCCATCCCAGTGGTGTGCCCACAGGCTGTTGGGCATCACGGCCATCCACGCAGTGCCCACTAGGCACAGAGCCTGCCTCCAAGTTCCTTGTTAGTTCAAAGCTCGTGAACAACTTTGGATATTTACCCAGACCCCACAATATACTTGGCAGGAGCACCCATGCCTGTAAGATGCAGGCATTTAGGTTCCAGACCTCTTCTTTTACTGTCTGTATTCAGATTCAGCCCAGGCCAGATTCGGAAAAGAATGTGTCACTGCAGCTAAAGGAGGGAACACAGGAAGCAGATCATTTAGAATAAAGCTGGGACTCTCCCAAACGTGGATTTGGTCTTGGCCACTCACAAAACCAGCAAAACATTTCATGAAATCAAAATACCAGAAGTAAATAAACCATCCAGGGGAGAACTGGGCTCATATTATATAGCAGATGAAATCTAGAGTACATTTAAAGACATTCTGTGCAAGGAAGTGGTGTTAACATTGGAAAAGCACAAGAGGGGCTGAAATCCCCTTAAGTGTTTTTTTATAGGAAAAGAGAGATTGTAACCTTTTTGAAAGGTTAAATCCTTTTTCCTTTAACTCATTAACCTAGTGATAGACTTTTTTCTATTGATTCTTTCATTTTGTAATCATAGGTGAATACCTATTATTCCCAGGCACTGTGCTAAGTTTGGTGACACAAAGCCTTTTATTCCACGACCTCAATGATGTTTTCATGCCCACACGTTTTCAGTGGCACCATGTTCCTCAAATAGCAGAGGGTCCAAGAACTCTCCTAAAAATTGTCCAGTGCTGTGTCATCATGTCAATCAATCCATGTTATCATTTCAGAAAAAAGTTGCTTTTTAAATTAAGTTGAAAGAATTGTTAGCGTCTTTGGTATGGAAACGTGACAACTAGTAAGCACACCAAACTTTGCAATTTTAAATATATAAAGCTTAAAGTCTTCTTTCAGGAGGGTCTATCTGATATGTCTTTTTCTATCTTCTTGATTCCATGACTCCAAAGAGCCTTCCTGGCTTAACTGAGCCCATCCTTCTGTTAGTTCTCATCTGCAGTGATGACCATCCCCGGCTTCTTTATTCTGCCACCCTGGCTGCTGCAGCTCCCCCAGCAGAGGCAAAGCAACTGCACGCGCTCATGGCGAGAGCAGTCATTGTGCCGAGTCCTGAATGACCAGCTGTCCCCCAGAGACCCACAAAAAGGCTAGTTAATGGAGCAGGCTTTCTGCAGGTAGGGGTAGTTATCTTGATCCCACAACTGGAACCACCAGAGCCCTTGCACACAAGCCTGCCCCCATCCTTGACGTGGATTGCTTCCAGCGACACTGTCTCCACCGGGACCATTGAAACATGAATGTATTCAGCCCTGACTCCAGAGGACTGGGGCCTCACAGCGCTTCAAAGCAAAGCAGGAAGAAAACCTGAAATTCTTGGTTTTCCCGACGGTTTCAAAAACAAATAATAATTACGCCAGTAAAACTGTCATTTTAAGTCAATTTCCTAATTTAAGGAAGGAAAACATAAAACTCTGAGGCTTTTCTGCCAATCTAATTCAGATCAGAGACTCTGTCTCGCTGGGCTAGTGGGTCTCATTACGATAGGACAGCAGTCAGAAAAGGAAGGCGGCACAGGAACTGTTTAATGGACGTTTTCCCAGAAATTAAAGTGCAGCTTTTCAAAAGACAGTCACTTGGTGGTGCAAGCCCCAGGGAACTGCACACACATTGCTGCCTCTGCCGCAAACACAGGAACCAGGTGCACACAGCAGTGGCTTCAGTGTCCTTTGTTGTCGGAATGAAAGTGGGAGAATGTACCGCTTGGTGATCAAAGCCTTTGACCATCATATAAAACCAATCAAAATGCTCTTTATTTCTCTTAATTTCCTAGTCTTCAGCAAATGTCATTCCAGGGTGTGGCGGGGAGACAGACCTCTTTCCTCCACCATGTGTTGCTTGGCTCTGGGGAGTTTTTACGTTTTGGTTGGTTTGTTTGGGTTGGGGTGGGTTTTTGTCTGTTTGTTTTTGGAGTTTTCCCCTAGTGTTTGGGGGACTTCCTGACACACTGTTAACATGGATCCCAGCCGTTCGTGTTCAGTCACAATCTAATAACCTTCTTTTTTTTTTTTTTTTAATAACTCCATTGATAGTAGCCATGTCGACTCAGCTGCCAGGAAAGATGGATTTTAGTTCATAAGGGAAGAAAGAAATATTACAACCCTTTGATCACTAACCGCCCCTTCCCAGCCTCTGTAAAAAGATCCAGGATCCCTCACTCAACACCAGAACAAACAGCAGGCTGGAAAAGGAATTGTTGCAGCTCAGGCAAGGCGTAAAGGTGCAGATGTTGTCTGATGTTGAAGAATTTTGTCAGACAGTAGGTATGGACCATGACATTGGCAGAAGAAATAAAAACCACTAGGGAAGGTTATGTTCAAACTCCATTTTTCCCTAAGCCTGCAGTTCAAAACAGTGCTTTGACTTTCAGGTACATCCTGTAAGATAGTTTCTTGTCTTATCATTCCTCTGGGAGAAGCAAGGTTCCAGTGAGTTTTAAACAACCCCCCCCCCCATCCCTGCCCCAACACTGAGGATTTATGAGACTCTGTCCTTGAGCAAAGCATTTGTCAAAGATTTAAGGGGCGGGTGAAAAGGGTCCTTTACCTTGTCCTGGCTGATTTGCACTTGAGACCATAAACTCTCTGACAAGTTCCCTCAGCCCTGGGCCTTCACTCGCATTCATCCTGTTGAAGCAGTGGTCCCAGCTGGAAGGGGCAACCAGATATTTGCTGACTCGACATTTAAAAAGCGGTCACTGCATTTTCTGGGTTTAGAGTTTGACCTCAAAAAAACAGTCAGGTGTGTTTCAATGCAATTAATAAAGGACTTTGAAGATGTTGACTATTATGTGAGTATTGAAACTTTCTTTTTGGCTCACTGTTTGGGTGGATGTGTGTGATTTGAATTTTTGCGGTTAATTAATTACCATGAGAAGTGTCCATGTTTCCTGTTCTCTTTGAGTCTATAATTTGAGTATGTAACTTTCTGGCAAATTTCAGCAGGGATACGAACATTGAGTATAATTCAAAATAGTATTGCTATAAGCCACTGTACTGGGGTTGAATTTTAAAGTCTAGGATATTTAAAAGTGTGTGAGTGAGGGATCTTCAGTTCTTTAATAAAGGGCTCAAAGGAAAATTACTGTTTATACAGCAAGCTGGCTCCTGTAAAGACTACAGGACTCGACTCTGTGGGCAGGAAGAGGTGGGAAGCAAGACAACTTTGTCGGTCCCGCCGTCTCCAGAACCTCCCAGCAGGCCGTGAGAGCACAGAGCAGGACACTGTGCCCTTCCTCACAGCCCACTTCCTAAAATAAAGCAAACAGGCATTTTCGTTCTTTACAAAATATTTCAAGCATTTTAGATTTCCTTGCCTTTTTGTCGGTGATTGGAATCGGGAATGCATTTGAAAAGCCATTCCCAGAAATAGGAGCAAAATAGAAACAGTCCTTCTGTAATTACACCACCTTCCCCTCTAAAATGATCACACAAACTAGTCACACTGACGAGTGCCTGATTACCAAGTGGCACCGACTTTCACTCCCAATTTAATTTCTGTGCATCCATTGTTTTAACTGTGAGGCTGCTTTGACCTTGACAGTGGCTCTGGAGCTTCAGGTGACGCTGACAGATGCGCAGGCTGGTGGAACAACAGCTCGCTCGGTGGTGTATGTGTGTTTGCTCACTTGGCTTTCCTCCCCTTTCCTTCCCGGGGCCTCATGGGCTGACAGTGCCGGCCTCCCGCAGGCCAACTGCAGGGCCTCCGTGCCCTCCAGCAAGGGCAGCAGCAGCGGCAGCAGCAGCAGCGGCAGCAGTTCCTCCAGCGACTCGGAGAGCAGCTCAGGATCTGACTCAGAGACCGAGAGCAGCTCCAGCGAGAGTGAGGGCAGCAAGCCTCCCCACTACTCCAGCCCTGAGGTAAGGACACACAGGCCTCCCCTGCCTGCTTCTCCCTGACCCGGTGAGCGAGGTCAGTCCTCCTCCGACTGTGGTTCTCACACCTCCTGCTCCTCCAGCCTCAGTGCTATGACACTGGCCTGCGAGGCGCCATGACCTCTCTAGGCCACCACCTCCTGGCAGCCTGCCGGGGTTGGTTTAGGCTCATTTCCCCCAGCCCCTCCTCACAGTGCTCCTAATCACAGAGCTTCCTTTGAAGTCTAGAAACTTCATCTCTTATGGTCCCAAAATTCTCTATCTTGACTTCCAGAACTTTCCAAGTATGCTGTAAACATCACTGACTGGAAATAACCTGAGATCGGGTCTCCCTAAGGGTCAGCCGAGGCAATAAGCAGACAGGGCAGCTCCCCGCCTGGAAGTGTGAGCCCCCGTAAATCACGGGGAAAGGAGTTTTGTGGATTAGACATGGTTAGGATCTTACCTTTCTTCAGTTCATCACAGATTAGGAGAACAAGGGCTATAAATATGAATAAAACCTCCTTTGTTTTCTTTGTGAAAATATAAAAAGGAAAATTAGCATCAACTTACAAATACTAATGAAAACTTTTATAGCTATGATGAGTATCTGTGTGGAAGATTTAGGTGCCTCGTATAAAAATATTATAAGGTCCCAATAAAAGCCATTGCTACTCCTACTTTAAAGGGGAAAATTTAATAGCAATTCAGAGCATGGATTCTTGAGAGAGGGCTGAGAGCACCCTTCTCTAGTCCCTGGATCTGTAAGGGTAGACTTTGATTTCTAAAGAGGGAATAAAATATGCTTCTTCTTGAGTGTATAAACATTTGATGTTACTGTGGCTCATAGGATTTAACTTTTTACCTACAACCTTCTGTACCACTCTGGGCCCAAATTTCTAAATATGCTCTAAAATGAAACCAAGGGCTTCCCTGGTGGCGCAGTGGTTGAGAGTCCGCCTGCCGATGCAGGGGACACGGGTTCGTGCC